AGAAAAAAACATTATTACAATAAAATTAAGATAAATAAAAGTAGTAATGATGTGATAATATTTATACATATAAACTTCTACCTCAAAGTCTGTATGTACTTTTAAATAGAAATGTCTTAAGTTTAGTCAATAGAACTGGAAGCTTTAACTTCCTCTGGCAGTTGGTTCCAGAGCTTAGGCGCTGCAACAGAAAATGCACGGTCTCCATATGTTTTTGATTGGGTGCGTGGGACAGCCATGCAAGAGGTCCTTGTTGGTGGAACRTAGAAAACGTGACGTTTTGTATTCACTCAGAAGACACTTTAGGTAGCCAGGTGCAAGGCCATTGCGTACTTTATAGGTCAGCAGTAAGATCTTAAATACAATGCGATCAGCAATGGGAAGCCAGTGCAAACTACGTAGAGTGTCAGTGATGTCCATATCAGGTTTCGGCCTAGCAGCTACCCTTGCCGCAGCATTCAAAACTTTCTGTAGTCTGTCAAGATCGTAACGGGGAGGGCCGTGTGGTGACAAACGCATGTACCAGCTTTTCAGCTTGCTGCTTGCTCAGATRTTTTCGGATCTTGCTAATTTTACTCAGGGCCATAAAAGATGCTCTGCAAGTGTTAGTAATTTGATTTTTGAAGGTGAGATTTTGATCAAAAAGGAATCCAAGATTACGGGATTGCAGGATTTTTTTTGGAAATAATTTGCAATTTTTGGTCGGCACTTTTCTTATGCACGATTTTTTTTTCACAGAGCATTTTTGTACACAATCGGGGCCAAGACTTATCAAAGGCGAACTCGAAAAGGGAGTATTCTGCGACACATGGATAGCGTTACTTTTCAGTTGTAGAAAGGGTTGGAATGCGTGACATCTCTCGAAAACTCTGCCTGTYCTGTCACTATAGCATTTAACGTACCCAAAAGTACCACCACTCCCGCAAAAAGCACGTAAATGTTATAAATACAGCAAAGGTAGGACTAAATTTTTCGCTAGTGAAAAATATTATTAGAAAATTTTAAAAAATCAGGAGCCAGTTACCAAGTCGTTTTTCCGGAAGACATTTGACTTCCGCCTGCACACGCGCAAAGGAAGCTGWTATTTCCAAGAAAAATGCAGACTTGCTGAACTTGTTCATATTCCTGAAATAGATATGTCCTGCTGCCACGTTGTTTTTGTTTGGTCTTACCCTCAAGTTCTGTTAAAATGAGACAAATAACGATGGTGTAGCTGATATAGGACAAAAGGTAAAGGAACGTTGCTTTATATATTAAATATTTCTACAGCAAAATCAGAAAAATTATTCAAACGCGAAAAAAAACCCACAAAGGCTACAAATCTGGGTTATTAGTCTCATTAGTCTCATTCAGGAGCTAGAATATTTCACTAAATTGATATATATTGCTGCTGGGAACTGAAAACTTAACTGCATTTCAATTTTAATTCGGAACAAATTTTAATCCTTGAAGGCTTGTTTTGAAGCTTCACGAATCTTTTCTTGCCTAGTAAGGCGTTGAATATCTTCATGCATGCATTCGCTTGCAAATATTTTCCTTCAATACCTCGCAAGATCATGCATTGGCAGATTTAACAATTCTTGATGTCTATATTTTAGCAGTTTCAAAGATTTCATTTTGATTATTATGATTCATTTTGTTTAAGTAGACAACTGTTTTTCTTTAGTTTGTGGGTTCCTTGCGGAGAACAACAATCGATGTCGTGGGGCTTTTCAAGGAAAATCATTGTTGTATCAGTTGGGTAAAGATATCTTCGAGGTAAGGAGTTCTGTTATTTCTTAACATATGTTTCCTGTGATTTCAAWATTATCTTAACTACTTCTAATATTCATTATGAAATTCATCGTTATATATTAAGCTAATTTTATRCCTAGCTKGTGGCCTATATACCTTTAAAGTGTTGTCTCATTTCAGACCATATGACCATTSCCTTGAGCATTGTACAAGCAATAGACCCATTCACCTTGGCTCTGTGTTGTCTCATTTCAAACCATATGACCATTSCCTTGAGCATTGTACAAGCAATAGACCCATTCAGCTTGGCTCAAAGTTGTCTCATTTCAGACCACATGACCATTCCCTTAAGCATTGTATAAGCAATAGACCCATTCAGCTTGGCTCAATGTTGTCCCTTTTTAGACCATATGACCATTCCCTTGAGCATTGTATAAGCAATAGAACCATTCAGCTTGGCTCAATGTTGTCCCTTTTCAGACCACATGACCATTCCCTTGAGTACCCTGAGAAAAATGTTTGTGGAGAAGAAGGGAAAGGCACAATAACTCAATTTACATATGTAGTTAAGTCTAGAATAGGCATTCCAAATTAATCAATTATCATCTTTTTTCTTTTCTTTCAAGATTATCATTGAATATATGTTGTTGTTTTGGTTGGTATTTGACTTTAAAATTTAAACGAATTTCAATGTCTTCAATTTATCTCATGCCCCATTCCTTAGCAATGCATCAAAGTCATTATAGAGGTTATGCGCCATCACATGACGGCAGACATGTTAGATGCCAGGAACAACACAAGTGTTTTACATGAGAAATAATTCAATTCCCAAGAGCAAAGGGAATTGCCCTATTTCACTATGACGTTACTGCTTGTTTATGTGGSGGATAGAATTTYCAAATCCAATAGAAAATTCAACAGAATTTGCACCTAGCGAAACAGTTTAATCTAAAATGGMCTGGTTTTCAGATATRATATGTGTTAGTACGTACTAAAAAAATATTCTGAGCGTTTGCTGGCTATTTTACTTCTCTTTGTGGATTGATACGGGTTTTAGAACAATTTTCGGTGAATTTGCRTTGATTTGACCCCTTCCGACAACCATGATCCTTTGCGTTTAAACGATAGATTGTTTTGATATGACGTCATAGTRAAATAGGGCAATTTACTGTTCTGCCATCTAACCACAGGCAGCCCAAGCTGTATTATTGGTGTGGGCACGTGATGGTGCAAAACCTCTATTGATTATATGTACGAACTTGTCTTGAAAAACCATTACACACAATAGTAATATTAGTCATCCAGGAGAAGTCTGTAAATTGATCAGATTTAGAATTGACTTCATTTATTTTCAAATTTAGCGTTGGTTTTAGCAGTCATTAACTCACTACAATCTCAAAAACCTTAAAGCATGAAATTCATGGTTCCAATTAACTCATTTCAGTCCCGGGGGGTACTCCCATATATGGACTATACRGGGATGATCGGCTGAACAGGGTATGGYTTTTCAAGCTTCTAGTCATAAACAGGGTATGCAATTTCACTCAAGTTCCAAGTTCTTCCTGAGCTTCCTGTCATATTCAGGGTTTCTACYTTCGTATTGACCAAAACTGGTTATTATGGTCGTAAAAAAATGATATGCGAGATGACATGATAATTGAAACAGGAACTCAGTGCAATAAATTATATCTTTTGTCATAAACGGGGCCTACAAATTTGAGTTTTTTTGTCATAAACAGGGTACCCCTTTCAGAATCCCAGCGGAACACCCCTACCCAAATTCTGGCTGAGTACCCCCCCCCCCCGGGATTTCAGTTACCCTTGCTATGCCCCACATTAGCTTAATGAAGTAGCTGAATATCTCAGAGTTTAAAACTCTGATTGAGGAAAAGTGACTCTAAATTGTTTCAATATTATTGTTTACTGTCCTGTGAAAATAAGATAAAATTCCCTTGTAATCCAGTGTTAAACTCTTGAAAACAGATGCTATGTATTTTTTTTGTGGAACAAGATTTTAACTCCACTGGGAAAACTGCTGCAAYGGTGAATGGTTTGCTATTGTCTAATTCTGAACCATGAATTATACTCCTAAACATTGGATAAGAAATGAACAATAATCCTGTCTGATCTGCATGGACTTTAGAACACTCTCTCTTGTAAATGCCCATAGAGATCAGGCTTCAGCCGCTTGTATATATTGGATACTTTATCAAGGGCCCTCTGTGTAGGCTCCACTCAGCTACCACATAAGGCCACTATACAGGGTAGGATGTCACTACAATGTCCTTTTTTGCTGGGTTTTTTTCTTTCTTTCTTTTTTTTTTTTTTT